CGAAATATTTCATTCTTAAATAAATTTTTTATTATATATGTTTTAAAATAATAAAACTATAAATTTACGTGCCTTTATTTAATGATTGGATTTAAATTTTTAATAATGTTATTATTTTATTATTTTGTTTATTACGAACATTAAGTATTCATGATATTTCTAAGTAATTAACAATGACATTTTTGAGTATTTAATTCACAAATTATGTTTGTGAAAATATATATACTGACCTTTATAATAGAAGGTATATTGTTATTTTCAACAATATTTGTGCTGATCATATTGATTTGAATAAGTTTTATATTATTATCTTTTATTTAAATGTATCTTTCATTTACTGTAAATTTTACATATATTTTAAATACATGTAAGGATCAATTTTAGAGTTTATATTAAAGAAGATTAAATAATATTAAATATATTATCTTACTAATTTTATATTATTGGTATAAAATTAATTAAAAATTTTTATTAATTTTAAAATTGTTGTAGAATTAATTTAATTATTTTATTAATTATTTTATTACTTTAATAAATTTCATAGCATGAATTTTCTAATTTTAAAAGTATTCTATATAATTTTTATTTGATTGATATTTCTTGGAAATGCTAAAATATTTATTTATTCAATTGAATTTTTATATTCAATTATCTGAAGATATTTCAATATTTCAATTTTATTATTTATAATTTTGAGAGAATCTTTAAATTAACATGTAATATATAAAATTATTTTATGTTTAAAATATTATAGAACAATAAATTTATTTTTGTCTATATATACATATATATATATATGTATATATATATATACATTTTGAAAATAATAATTAAGAACTAAAAAATAGATATTCTAAAATCTTTTAATATCGCTGCCTTAGTATTATAAACATAGATTTTTTTCTATGTTATTGCAATATTGGAATATTATTATATATTATATCACAAATATTATAAAAATTTACTGAAAGAAATATAAAAAATATAAACTATTGTTAAATTCCTTGTATGACAAATAGTCAATAAATATCATAATTTTATACTTGCATATTCTTTAATAAGAATTTGCTTAACAAATAATTTAAATAAATAATCTTAAAAAATGCTTGCTGGACAAGTAAATTTCATAAATATTGAGCATTTATGAAATTATTGTGAAAATTAAAGAATGAATACTTTCATAAATACAGATTTATTTCATTCTTAATTTTATACATGCAAATTAAAATATTTATTCTTTAATTACTAAAATTATTAAAAACTCTACTGCCACTTGGTAGAATTTCTGAAGATTTTTTTAAATTTAGGGTGTAATGCTATATATATATTATTCATTAAATATTTAAAATTATTACTAAATTTAAAATCAAATATTTTTTAATTCTACATTTTTATTTTGAACTTAAATTTTATATTTTTTGAAAGATAGAAAGATAGATTAGAATTTTAATTTCAAATTTCTTCATTTTGAAATCATACAATTGATATTTTGGTCAAATTAGTTAATAATGATATTATATATATTTATCTTAATTCTAAAAGTTAATATTTCATATATTATATATTATAGATACATTATATGGACAGATTAATATCTTATAAAAATTATTTTTAGAAATAATATTTAGTATTCTTTGTTTTCTTGTATATAAATATATTTATATTATGAGTAATATATCTTTCCAAACACATTTATATATCATGATTGTAAATTGTATACATTTAGAATTCAAGTATTTTATTTATATTATATTCATATTATATTCAGCAAATTTTTTTATTCATATTATATTCAAAAAAGAGTTTTAAAGTAAATTAAAATTTGCAAGGAATATATATTTTGTTTTATAGTTTTTCTTCATATTTATTTATATAATAATTATTATATATAATTTTAATGAAAGTAAAATATGTATTAATATAAATTTATAATATGGATTGATGTCAAAACATGCATTTAATTATATTAAATGATCAACATTAATTGTATATATATTATTATTAGAATTAATACATTTGAAATAATAATGAAGTAATGATTTTATTATTATTAAAGTATGTATTAATTATTTTATTATTATTATTATTATTATTATTATTATTATTATTATTATTATTTATTATTAAAATATTATAAAAATGAAAGACACAAATGAGATGGAAGAGAGAGGAGATAATAAAAAATATAGATACATAAAATTTTATTTCATCATGTTATGTTATATATTTATATGTATCTGTACAATATTGTACAATATTGTATTTGTAATATAGATTATTACAATTATCTTTTGGAAAAGTTATTTAATATAATAATTGTTGATTATAAAATGTAATATAGTACAAATATGTACATAAGGATTGAAAATGAATATTTTTAAAATAGATTTTAATAATTTTTCATAATTTAAATCATATATTATTTAAATAAAAATCAAATTTGAATATATAATTAAATATTTGTAATTATAAATTAAGTTATATATAGTTAATTATATATATTGAATACACAATAATTAATTTACAACAAAACTGAGAATATTATACATTTAATATGAAATATAATATAATATAAAAATATGCAATATACAAATTGCTTATAATTCAATATTTTAGGATTTATATTAGGATTTTAATATGTTTCGTTCATTAGACATTGACAATTTCCAGCTGTAGTTATTTGAATAAGTCCATATTTTCCACTCCACATCCAATATTCATCTTCTTCAAATAATTTTTCTCCTACACCAGGTGGTATGCCAACACAAACATCAGATTTTACTGTTCTTATAGCTAAGATAGGTGCTGGTTCAAATCCTCTTAATGCTTTTTTAAATGATGTTGTATATTCCCAATTAATATCATCTACTAATTTTCTATAATTTAAATCACCTTTAAATATTATTAATTTAGCATCTGACAATTTTGCATGTAATTTTGGATCATGTTCTTTCATCCCTACAAGATCATAAGGACCTGTCCAATATGGTTCAATCTGAAAAGTTAACATTGTATAATTATTTATTTGAAGTTACGGAAAAAAAAAAGAATTAAATAGAATTTATTTATTAAAAGTTACCTCAATTGTCCATATATTATTCTTAAAATAGTTTTCTATCAAATTAGCAAATTTTTTTAAACATTCATTTGATGCATTTTTCATATAATCTATAGTCCAGTGAATATCATTTATTGATGCATCACTAATATACCATGGATAAAGTTTTGGGTAAAATCTTATTTTATCAGCAAATTTGATTGTAATTAAGAATGCAGCTAAGCAAAAATCAGTAAAAAGTTCATATCCTGCATTATCAATTATTATATCTATAATATTTATATCTAGTTTATTTTTATCTGGTTTTCTCAATAAATTCCAAATAAATTCTGAATTATTTGCAAGAATATCTTTATCTAATACTTTTAATATTTGTATAGGATGGGTAGCCTGCCCAACATCTGCTCCTGCACTTAAAGATAGATCACATCTGTAAGGAATATATTTTAATAAATTTTATGTTAGTGTCATATAAAAGATAAAAATTAGAAAATGAAAATGAAACATACTGGTTACCCCAAAGATTAAACTTAATAAATTTCATAAATTCTTCTTTAGTTTCCATTATTGATAGATTTTTTTTATTAGATATAACATCTATAACATAACTACAAAGTATTTCTATGCTAATCAAGGAATTTGTAAATGCATTCTGTTTTGATTTTGTAAAAGGATCATAAGTTTTTATGTATTTCCTAAAATTAAAAAATAATTCATATTTGTTATATAATATTGTTAATTATATAATTATTTCCAATCTTACATGAGAACAAGTTCTTGTGCAAGTATCCGATACATATAGCATTCACAATATAGCCAAAGAGTATTAAACCATAACGGTATTTCTTTTTCTATTTCAGTTCTCTTTATTAAAAATTTATTCCATTCCTCAGCATCATTAGTTGAATCATCAGGTAGCAATCGCATAGGTTTTAAAGTTTTATTTGTTGCTATTTCATTTTTTAATTTACTAATAAATCCTATCATTTTTTTAACTTCTTCTATAGCATTCTAAATAATGTAACATATCTATATATTAAATATAAAATTAATAGAATATATTAAACATATAAAAAATAATATTTATTTTACCTCTCCATATTTTTCAATAATATTTTCCTTGTCACGACTGAAAGTATCAATAATTTTGGTTAAAATTACTGGTAATCTGTCTTTAAGTGTTACATAAGCAAAACTCCTAATAAAAAAAAAATGTAAAAGTTAGTAAACAATTATATGTAAATTTTATAATATATCTATATTAATAAATTAAAATGCAGTGATTTAAGTGTTCATGATACTTTTTCTCCATTGATTATATTTTATAGCAAATTATATATATATATATATATAAAGAAAATAAGATATATTAATTTTTATATATAAAATAATTTATTCCTAGGTTAAATAGAAAGTGAATTTTATTACCGTTTATAAATGCCTGCTAAACGTACATTAAAAGGTGTTCGTATATCTTGCAAATCTCGAATATCTACCGAATTTGATTTTTGATTCATGATTTAGCTATTGCTAGAATACAATAGATCAAAATCAAGTATAGATACAGTATGAACTCTGAAATGTTAAAGATATTACATATTACTTTGCGATTTCATTTACATAACTGATTATTATATACCTTGTGTTTTAATATTTCTTTAATCCTTATTTGTATTAATTTATTTTTGAAATTTTCCACAGAGACTAAATTACAATCAGCAGAAAATGAATAAAGCATTATTATATGATAGTAAGCATGTGCATTGCGCATGCGTTTAGTATGTCCGTCATTACACTTGGATTGTATGACGTTTTGTGTATTCGTATACATGTATAGAGAACTTTTTTGCTTTTGATAACACGAGTAATATAATTTATTACATGATTATTACATGATTTATAATAGTTACGAGATTATTTGATATCTCAGATAATAAAAATATATATATCTATTTTAAATTTAATTTTAAAAACGATTAAAAAAATAAATTTTAATATTTAATCATTTTAATTGGATATAATATGTTGTTAGAAATTAAAAATGTTTATTTCAATTTTCTCTTATTTTCAAAAATTATTGATGCTATTATAATTTAAATATACAAATGTAAGATAAAATAAAAGATAAAGTACATTAAATAAGCTTATAATAAAGAAAACATTGAAATAGAAGAAACTGATATATAATCAAATCATCTTTTAGATACGATATTTTTAATATATAATGTCTAATGTTTATAGTATTTTTCAAATCTTTATTATAATTTTTTATATTTTTACTTTTCAAATAAATAATTCTATTTTCAAGACTTTAAATTTCAAATAGAGTTACTCTCTATCTTCATTGTTCTTTTACGTTCTTTCTTATAATATACGAATTTGCATTTTAAACTGTTTCATAACGACTTATGAAGTTACATTAGCGCCAGTTGCTATCTCAGTCAAGGTTCAGTATCAGGTTGAAATTGATATCAAAAAAGGTGGGAGACAAAGAAGCTCAAAATTATTTCGCCTTGTTACGACCGGTTTGGTTTTTGTTTGTCCCCAGAAAACAACAAACTAGAGCGATAATTCAGCTACAGATGCTTGAGACTTTATGAAATTTAATATTAAGAGCAAGAGTTAGAGTAACTATGTTCGTTTTCCAATTGAATTGTTTTTAATTAATTTATAACATTACAAAAAGTATATTATTAATATACTAAAATTATTTATAGAATTATACAAATAGTTATAAATTTTTTATCATTTATGATCATTTAAGATTCTTTAATTTTTTTTTTATAAAATCACGTAGATTTAAAAAAATAAAAATTTCTTCTTTGAAAAGCATTTTTATTCATAAAATACACTTCAAAATTAAATTATCGGTAAAATTGCTTTCAATTATAGAATTTTTTATTTTTTACGGAAAGAATTAAATTATCAAATTATAAAAATTCGAAATTTTTCACATTTTTTTTTTTTTTTTTTTTGTAAGAAGATATAATTTTTAAAACTAATTTTTCTCTTTTGAAATCTTTTTATTTTTTTTTTTTTAATTTTTATCACAAAAAATATATTCCACCAAATATAATATTGCGAAATCTCGTCGATGGTGATAACCACCGGCTCATGTTGGAATAATCGATGAGCCGCATAGTAACAGTAATTTGCAAGATAGCATCGCGGTCTAGCGTTGTATTCCTTCCTTGAATGAAATCCACGTTGGCGATACCCCGATCCCTATACCCGGTCCTCCTTCCACATTTGGGTTCTGGAAGCAATGTTGCTAATTACTACATACCATTGAATGCGGCATAACCCGCGACCCATGAATTCCACTAGCCTAGCCGGCTAGTGTACAGTCACGAGAGTCAGTTTTCGCCCGTGTAACTCGTGGAAATTGCGGTTTCCTATGAGCAGAGAACGAACTGATAATATGCTCTTGAACGGTCGCTCTGTCTTGCATTCCCCGACATTTTCCAGTTAAAATCCGTGTTCAAGTATGTGCGAACCTAAATTCGTCCGATTCCAACACGGGCCAAATTTTGTTGCCTCGCGCGATATTCCCCTGAATCGACTTTCGCTTCGTTCTAGGCACTTTGCACGCCTCGATTGTAGCTTGTTGAATTCTCGTGATTTTGCGAGATCGTGAGATTAATATAATTAAGCTGAATATTAAATTATCCTGATTGGAAACGAAGGATTTATGAAAAATTAGAATGAAATTGGTCGTAGAAATATAATAATTCATAGCAATCGAGTTTGTTGTGTAATTTCCTCGATGATAAATTCATGTCAATCATCTTTGATGGAATAACACCGAGAATAAAATGTTTAATTTTGTAATTAATGATGGATGAAAAAAATTAAGTGTGAAAAGTTATCTCTATGATGTACATATCAATTTGCTATTCTATATTAATTCTTAGTAATAACTAAAAGTTGGCGGCCAAATTCTGAATGAATGATCCTTCCCGGGCGAAGAATCAGCACGAGCTGTCGACCAGACAATATGGAATTAATTATAATTAACTGCCATTCACAAAAGTTCCGCGAGCAATTGTGCAATCTCACCACAGCGTTATAATGAACTTGCAGCTCTCCTATCATTTACATTCTCTTCTACTTGGTCCGAATCTTCGCCTAATTCGTAACGCTGCCTCGTGAAATGTCAAAGAACTTGTTTAAATTAATTAGTATGTTATTCGAGCGAGATATAATTTCGAGGATTCTATTTTTCCTCTACCCTGATCCAATTTTACAAATGATTCGATTATTTAAGATTTGAGCAAGTGCTGAGCGAAACAGGAAGATATATTTTCAAAGTTTTCAAAGTCTCGCGAAGGAAAGATCAATAATAGCATTTGTTATTTCATTATTTATTATTATTATCTTATATTTTTTGATTCGATGTTATCTACAAAGATTTGAAAGCAAAGGTTGACAGCAAGTTGAGAAATTCATATCAGAAATTTTGCAATTTCGACATACAACACATTTGATATACACTGCAATATATGAGATTGCAATACTAGTTGAAGAAGTTCAACTATTGAAGCTTCGAATGCATTTGGTTCGTAGTAAGAACTGATTCGAAGTTGTTTCAGAGATATATTCTAGAAAGGGTGAGAGTAGTTGCAGAATGAGAACGTCTATGAGGCTTTTTGCGATTGGTCGAGGAATTTTGCGTGTATTCTATACAAAGTTGCTGTATTGACTAAGTAGATGTATAGTGCAGGGATGTTGCTCACGTTCTTAACTTGGGAAACTAGCCCTGTAATCTTACAGTATTTCAAATTTGAAATTTTAATGTTCTTCTGTGGTTTCACGATATCTTAATTGTTGTTATACGATCCTTCGAGTGCTTCGAATTTTAATTGTTATTCAAAGATTTTTGGAACAACAAAGGAAAATTAATAAATTTGAATAAATTCGATATCGACAATTGAACACACGTATTCAAATTATTTTTAATCGTTTTAAAATCATAGAATATATCTTTGAAAAGCTTTGCTTTATTATTTTCCCCTATATTTTTACAAAAGATAACAATTATATCGAATTATCAATTGCATCGAATTGAAAAATTATATAAATTATATCGTTCTTCTCTGAATCATCTTGCTCATAAAGTAACGATTAAATAATTTATGAATTTCAAAAAAGATAGCCAATATATATATATATATATATATGAATTTTGTTAAATATGTTTCCCTCAATGATGAGAAGTGATATTAAGTTATTTGCTTTACGTAAAATCGACAAATTATTTCGACAAACTGCGACAAACTAATAGAACTGTATTTGTATTTCGCGAACGCTATACACTTATAAAATTTAGGTTGCTTAACACTGCACGTAACCACGAAATATGAAGGACTTCGCTAACTGACCACCAGTCCGCGTTTCTAACACGATTATCCTTGACGTTTTCCGTTGTTCATTTCCGAAATTACTGCCAGCCATCTGGTTCACGTATTTATGATGTTCCGCCGGTGACATTAGCTGGTGATGTTCTACTACATTAATCAGCCTCACACGGGAAAGAAAGAAGTCGAAAGAAGGAAATTTAAGAAGAACTTGTAACGAAGAAAGCGATGCTTCTTTTATCTACTTCGTTATTTTTCGATTTCTCCGTGTTTCCTGTTTCTCGTTCGTGATAAAAATCGATTGATAATTGCGTATATGATGATGAACAATTTTTTGAACGATTATTGAAACATCCGATGTGTTACTTAGATCATCCTTACGGATAAAATATTTTATAAATGTTAGTTTTCCTTTCATTGTGTACATTCTTCAAGCAAGGAGAAAGAAATTCTTTGTTAAATTTGTAAGAAGAAGTTTTCATTAAATTTTGCACAACGGGGATTTTAATATTTATAGGAATGAGAATGCAATAATACGAGAGGCATAATATGAGAAGCTTTTCAAAGGAACGGATAATAAAGAAATTCAACTTTCACGGGATATTTTTATCATGTTTCGATAAGTAGCACGTTGAAATTGTTAACGATGACCGGGCCGCTACCTTTGCCCTCCCTATCTTTTTCCCTTGCCAACTTTTTCTTCAAAACTCTCAATCTTCTACAATCAGAAAACTTTAGAATATCGTGAGATTGAAACAACTTAGGAAGAAACGTAAACGATATTCAGGCTGAAAGAATCCGCGTTAATTTTTTTTTTGTTGCTATTTAAACGAGAAAAATTACTTCCCTTACAAACAATGTGTCCGAACATTAATTATTTTACCATCTTTTACATAAATATATATATATATATATATATATATATATAAAATAGAAATATATCTAGCAATCTTTTGATAGAGAAATTTTACTTTTCAATTAATACTCGTTTCCTTATGTTTCATTTTTTTCTCATTAAATAAATATCTAATACATTTAACATAATTATTTTAATAGATGCAAAATTTTAAAGCAAATAAAACTTTATTCGTGATATTTCGTGTAAAAGAACATAAAAAAATCTGTTCAGAGAAATCATTTAACTCTTTTTTTGTTCGATCCTGATATCTCGATCGGTTGACGAGATACAAAGGATCAAACTCCATAGAGTTTAAGACGCATGCAGAAATTATGAATCGTCCCGCGACTTAGTGACCCATATATACTTTTCCAAGAACTACGTACGCTCTCCCAGGAATAGTAAAAAAGAACTGTTTACTCACGTTCACCGCTGACCTGTCTCACTTGTCCGGAGCTTGGGATTGGTCAGTGACGAGGAGCGAGTGAAAGGTCCGAGTAAGCGACAAGGATGGAAATAGAAAACGACGGAAAATTATCCTTTTCTTTACACGACGATATCTCGGTAACTCGGTATCGGAATAAATGAAAGGTCGTTTTAAAGGCGAAGGATCAACGCTTCTAACGATCTTTCGTTCATTAACCGGAAATTGTTCTCTTAAAAGTTATAGCGGTTTAAAGTTTTTGTAATTTTTAATAAGGCTCGAAGTCGATCGATTCAACGTTGCAAACGGAATCGGATAAAAATTACATAATATATATATATATATATATATATATATATAAAATAGAAATATATCTAGCAATCTTTGATAGAGAAATTTTACTTTTCAATTAATACTCGTTTCCTTATGTTTCATTTTTTTCTCATTAAATAAATATCTAATACATTTAACATAATTATTTTAATAGATGCAAAATTTTAAAGCAAATAAAACTTTATTCGTGATATTTCGTGTAAAAGAACATAAAAAAATCTGTTCAGAGAAATCATTTAACTCTTTTTTTGTTCGATCCTGATATCTCGATCGGTTGACGAGATACAAAGGATCAAACTCCATAGAGTTTAAGACGCATGCAGAAATTATGAATCGTCCCGCGACTTAGTGACCCATATATACTTTTCCAAGAACTACGTACGCTCTCCCAGGAATAGTAAAAAAGAACTGTTTACTCACGTTCACCGCTGACCTGTCTCACTTGTCCGGAGCTTGGGATTGGTCAGTGACGAGGAGCGAGTGAAAGGTCCGAGTAAGCGACAAGGATGGAAATAGAAAACGACGGAAAATTATCCTTTTCTTTACACGACGATATCTCGGTAACTCGGTATCGGAATAAATGAAAGGTCGTTTTAAAGGCGAAGGATCAACGCTTCTAACGATCTTTCGTTCATTAACCGGAAATTGTTCTCTTAAAAGTTATAGCGGTTTAAAGTTTTTGTAATTTTTAATAAGGCTCGAAGTCGATCGATTCAACGTTGCAAACGGAATCGGATAAAAATGAAAGTAACTTATATACACGTTTTTCAGAATCTCATTCTCAGATTCGTTTAAAGAATCCCCTCCAAGGAAAAGAACCTCTTCCAGCGGTCTAGGTTGTTTTCAAGCGTTATACAATCATTCCCGTGCTATTCCAGGAAAGGATTATGCGAATTCCCCGGAATTCCCAAACGCGGAAGGGATCGACTTTAGCTATTCTCCGAACGACTCCTTCTTCCGTCGATTCTTTAGAAGTTCGACGTTTGTCTCGGCCCTCGTTCCTTTTTCTTTCCACTCTCTGTCCGTACCTTTTTTCCGTTCTCCCCTTCGAGACGTCCAGACTCGAACTCTTGAAATTTCCGGAGTTTCCCGAACGGGGAAGAGCAGGTTCCGCACTCCTAATTCCGCCGAATTAAACCCGTCTTTCGATGCCGAATTCGTTCTAATTGCGACTGCGGTTCGCCACGAATAACGCGAAAACGAACTCTGACGTATAATGTTTTTAGAACGTCGAGTGTGGGTGCTTTTAAGATTTTAGGAGAATTAATTTTTGTACGTTGATAAATATACTTTTCTTCGAAAAATTAAAAATGTTTATCGCTAGTATATTTGTTGAGAAAGATAACAATTAGTTGGTTGGATGTAAGATGTATATTTTGGGAAGATTTAGAAATATTGAATAATTTTTGAGAAAATTAAAGGATATTACGATTTTCTTATTATTAAATATTTATTTACATAAAAATAAAGTATAAAGAAATAATCTTCTTTATATAAAATTTTTACACTATTATTCAATTATGATGTAATAAATATATACGTATTAATATAACTGAAACAACTCGACGTAACTAAAATATTGTAAATTTTGTAATTATATCTTTAAATTCAAAGTAATATCAAGAGAGACAACACGCATAAATTCTAAAATAAATAAATTTTATCGCTAGCATTAATCGCACATATCATTTCCAATTTGATAAAAATATGACTTTACAGAAAATACCGGTACTTATCGAGTTCGATTGTTTATTCGGGATTAAAAACTTAAACTTTGAGCTCTCGTCGACATTTGGGGGATTTAAAATTCGTGATAATATCATTTCGTCTCGGGACCACCGATCTTCCACATGAATGCAAAGATAAAACTGTCGACTGCTTTACAAAATAAGATAATGGCAACAATAAAATACCTTTAAAAAATCTCATAAATACCCCCTCCCCCTCCCCCCAAAAAAGATTCCTGACCAATACAACAATTAATCACTGAAAAAGAATTAAAGATAAGATAAAAATTGAACGTTCCTTCAAAACAATTTGCTCAATCAAGTCAAACAGTAAACTTCTTCCAAAGATTAAGATTTTACAACTAAACCAAAATAACTTTATAAAAAGCTTTTCACGAAATCACTGTCGAAAACTTCCAAACCACTGTATTCATCCACCTAATAAAAATACGAAGAAAAGAAAAGAAAAGAAAGAACAGGACAGAATACAAAATAGAATAAAATCTCGTAAGAAGCTTCGTTCGCCAACAACTCAATCTTATGACGTTCTCGCACACATTAATCCAAACAACGGCGCACCCAATTAGAAGATAGCGCGTTAAGAAGCGTAATTAACCATTTGACCGGCTAATTACGGCGCAACGCGTATGTAGGTAGCCAGATGTGGACACACGAGGGGTAAAAAATGTCGAAGCAACGGAAGCTTCGAGGAGGAGGCGTGTATCGCGGATGTGGCGCACCGTGTGGGTGGGGTGGCGAAATAATAGGGTAATTGTTATGCCACGGCACGGGTAAGTGGAGGATCAGAGCCACGTCTACCCGATAAGACACGACCCCTGGGAATACTTAACGAACTTAACTTTCCGGATCGTATGGGCATCTGCTTTTCGAAAGCATGGCCATCACCGTTTTACTGGGCTTTCACTTCGAGCGAAGGATGTCGTTCTCGAAGATAATCTTTAATAAACAAAGAAGATCTCGCAGGCGCGCAGATTCGCGGTGCGTCACGGAGAAGGGAATATTTTCAGAGTGGATAGATGTTGGATCAGATTTGAAGATTTCTGTTACGTAAAATTTGGCGATTTATTACTTTGCATAGAATATCATTTTGAATTAATATTATATAATATGATGCAATATAAAATTTGGAAATTTAATTCGTCTCGAGGATAATAAAAGTACGATCGAGTTATTTATTGCTGATTTTTGTTTCGAATTGTTGGAGAAAAACAATATATATTTACGTATTTATTGTTTTTTAAAATTAATCTTCAATTAAAGTGAAAAATATATATGGAAAAATTTTTAAGAAAAATTAATGACAAGTAGGAGGAGTTCTTTTTTGTACGTGGATTAGAATTATTATTCTCTAATTATTTCGTCGATAATTATTTTTAATATTCAGAAAAAGTTTAGGATATAATTTGTACTTAACTCGAATTTATTGATAATATTTTAACGAAATTTCTTTCTTTACGCGCAATTCGTGATACAATATTTTAGAGCTAATTAGATTTATGTTTGTAAAGTAATTAGATTTGTGTTTGTAAAGTAATTAGATTTGTGTTTGTAAAGATTACAAACTGTTAGCAGAGATTATTTGGAATATTAATTACGGAACAAGTTCTAACAAGCTCTTGAAGTCGAAGTAGGAAGTGAAAATTAAGAAATTTCTTTCATCCGGAGGGATTATCCACGGATCCAAAGACAGTTGATGGATTCGCTGTAGTTCGTCTCCGATAAAAGCGCGAGCTTAATCAGAGTTCTGATAAGAATCTTTGCAGAATAATAGAAAATTCTTATTACGCCGCTTCAAAATTCGTGGTAATATTGTGTTATAAAGCAACACTTTTATTACAAGATACGATCGATTAAGATTCTTTTATTAAATATTTCTCTATTACTATTACGAAACATTTTAATGAACAATCAGCTACAATTTTATATACTGATGATAATATAATTTTGTTAAAAATTAAATCTTGCTTATAGTTGTTATAACTAATGTCAATGATAAAATTATATAATTATATTATTTTTCATTTACTTTATTTTTTTTACTAATATTTTGTTTTTTTGTTTGCGCAGGAAAGCTGTTATTACCTACGCAGGCCAGTACATCAAGCATTTACATTTTTAAAGCGGAACTCGCACCTACACTAATCCTCAGGTATGCTCTTATTATTATTCATACCGTTGTTTAAAAAGTTTTTAAATTTATTATTATAAATTCATTTGTGAACAATAATATTTAATTCATTCATTTATACCATTTTTATCTTTATTTTTAATTGAGAAATTTTCTATCTTTTCAAAATAAATAATAACTCGTTACACATATTATTTAATCATTAACTAGGTACACTTTGAAATGGTATAAATTACTATCTTTTAAATCGTTACTGTATGTTGATATTCTAATATTAGATAATATTTATATAGCAAATCTGTTTTGATTTCGTAGATAGAGAAGGTAAGTGATAATTTTCGTTCAATATTTGTGTGTATATTGTGCTTTGGTAGAACCTCGACATCAATCTTGCTAGGGAAATCATTTTCGCTATATAGATCTCACCGATGAAGCGCGCTAAATTGTGAATACGACGCATGTGTGAATGTCCAGAATGTGGACTAGCACCCATGACATCAATCTTCCTAAGATACTTATTTTTGGCATTTAGGTGTTATCAGTGAAGTATGAACAACGAATGAGATATCTCTGCAAGACGTAAAGATTTTTTTTTTACTAAAATTTCAAACATCATATACATTTATATACATATATTTTTTTACATAAATTTTTACGTAAATTGAATTTCGATTATTATTAATTTTTTTTCTTCGATATTTAAAAATTTTCATCACTAGTATAAAACATTGAATATAAAACATTATAATTTTAATTATTTCTTTTCTCCTTTAATTTTTATTATCCCACTTTAAATATATATTTCATTCGTAAATAACAAATTCCTTTCCTTGCTTCTACGTAAGACGTAATTTTTTGAACGTTTAATAAGAAAGTTACCTCGAAAGCGAAAGAAAAATTACACCGTTATTGCGGTGTCAAGATCCAGATGAATTTTCTTTTTTTTCTTTTGGAGAAGCGAGTTTCAAACCACAATCAAATGCTCGCGAGTAATTTGCGCTTCATTTCCTGTTTTCTATAAATGGAGGTAACAGCGTGCACTGCCAAAGCAAAATAGTTCCTTGGCAAATTGAAACAGGCACTACCTTGCCGAAAACACTGGGTACACAAGTTGTATTTACCATTCGTAGCTTACCAAGTCTCGAATAAACACGCAAGTCTATTTCGACTTGCAGATTTGCACGGTCTCGATGGCAATCAATTGCCTGTCAGCTGGAAACGAGACCGAAAGAAATCTTCCCCTCCCCCCCCTTTTTCACTTACAACTAATAGTATATTACACAACTGCTTAAATTAAAAAAAAAAAAAAATAGAAAATAAAAATTATATACTCATAATAATTCTTCTTCGAATTTTAATCGAACTTGAATTCTTCGTGATCCTGTTTCGATTTACACACTGCTTCTAGGTCGAGAAACTATCGAAAATCGTAAAGGAAATTGGTGATGAAAATATTTCGAAATTTATAAAGTCAGGGAGAAGAGGAGGAGGAGGAGGAGGTTATTTATATTCGAAGCCCTTAAATTCAGTTCTATGGGAGAATACGTTTCGAAACACGAAACGGGCTCAATACATATGTTCTCCCGGCCGACATTGGACGGGGGCCGGCCTATAATTTAATTGGAATTTAATTTAATTGGAATTTAATTTAATTGAAATCGCTCGTGCGCGGCCGGCAAAATGGTTTCGCGTATAAAATACACGCGTACGAGCCGTTGAAAGTATCCGACGAAATTTTTGCGAATGTCACACGCGGGGAACGTAACGCCGTGATTTTCATGAATTTTGCGGTGCTTCCACGCAATCACTGATATTATGGCAGCTGATATCGAATGTATAACAACGCTTGTATAACGTCGGTGTGAATATTTCCTTTCCGTGTCTGCTGCGTTTTTTTTTTCCTTCGCGTCCTTTCTTCCCTCTCTTTCCTCCATTAAATTTATATCAGTGTAAAAATATATAGAGTCTTCAATTGAATCGTCGAATTGAATCCGTATCTTGTATACCCTTATCCTCGTTTTATCTCGTGATAGTGTTACTTCGTAATTTGTGAAATTTGATATTCCTCGTTCTCTCTAGAAATCTCTGTAAATTTTATCGTTTCGATGACGAGATTATAATGGAAGAATTTTTAATTTTTATAACCCAATTGTATTAATAATCTTCTGTTTTTCCAGATCTTCTTATATTTACACAAATGTTTGAATAATAGATGATTATATTTCGTGGCGTCGAGATATTCTTTTAATAATTTCGAAGATATCGAGAAATAATCAAAGAAACATAATAATCATACAATTCCACGTTGAAATATTTAATATGAATCACCCCAGTCAGGATTTTTCTTTTTTCGAGAGAGGAAAAAAGACAAATAAATATTCGATTATCACGCGTTAAATGCCACTGAAATATTCGATTTACATCAAGTTTTTAACAGGCCTGGGTCATTTTGCGAATAACGAAGCGAGAAGTAGGAAGCCAGGGATTACACGTAAGGCGCAACTTGCCCGAGGCTCTCTGGGTAAAAATGCAAATCTATTTCTGCGTCCGTCAGTTTACTTTGCTCGGTCACGAGTAATTGCCCAACGTCCACAGCCTACGGGCTTTCCTCCGGAAGATGCAATTCCCGGAGTTTAAACCCGACCCAACTATTTCATTCTCCTTTTCCTGCGTCTGTCTTCCTCGCTCGTCTCTGTCCGCCAGCCAGCAATAACAGTAATCAGGATACAGGATTAAAAGGAATGAGAGACTGGTGTCCCGGATGAATTGAAATTTTCCTGAGGTGGGAGGGAAAAAAAATAAAGCTTGGAATTGAATTAGCGCGAACGAACCACGTGTCTTTGTTTCTCTCTTCGTTTGTCGACCAAGATTTATCATTTATTGTTGGGGGATCGTCGAGAAATTGAATAATATTTTCATAAAAGTGTTATATAAGGAAGCAACAAGTATGCCTTTTAATCTCGTTTCTTCGAAATTTTTAGCTCTTCACACGTGACTTATCTACGACCTTTTCAAAACAGTGATTTTTTTCTTCGAGATTTATGAAATTATTTCGTGTAGTATTAGTTATAAGAGAGTAATAATAAATTTACGTCGTTAATTAATCGTTTCTTACTTATTCGTTAAATTTATATCATTTCAAAAATGAAAGATAAATATTTTGTCAAGCTTCATTCTTGAACTACTACGTCGTGACTTTGTACATCGTGACTATTGCACTTTTGCGCGTGTGTACACGTTAACAGGGATGTTCTCTCGATCCCTGAATGGAATTCAGAGTCTAGTATACAAATAGCGGCAATTTTAGCGGAACAACTCCGTGGGACTTTCACCCGGATGCGACTTGTGGAAACATTTGCGCCCAACTATGCGAGAAATCAAGTGGACCATTTTGCGGGCCGTCGACTCCCTTCCGGTTGGAAACGTGTCTATCGCAAGTATACATTTTTCAATTTTCAACTGGTGACAAGGAATACACGTGTCCCGTGATTGTACGCGCATCAAAATTGCACCCGTTTGTGTATTCAAATATATCAATCGCAAAATTGAAATATTTTACTCGAGAAAAGTTTTTCCAACGATATTTCGAATCTCGTAAGTAAAAAACTACTTGGAAGATTTCGTTTTTCTTATTTATTTGTAAAAGATACTGAAATATTGGAGGAAAAATTAGTAAAGAAAAGAAAAAAAGGTCGAAGAAAGATTTTGAACCGATTGAAAATATGATTATTTGTAATAAAATTCCAAAAAAAAAAAAAATTGAAATATTTTACTCGAGAAAAGTTTTTCGAACGATATTGAATCTCGTAAGTAAAACTACGATACTGAAAGATTGGAGGAAAAATAGTAAAGAAAAGAAAAAAAGAATTGCAAATATTATTTGTGAAATTCCAAAGTTCAAAGTATTTAAAAGTGAAAATAGAGGAGAATGATAGACTGATGAGAAAAGAGATTTGTTCCTTTGGGTCGTAAAGCGTGGTAAAAGATCGAAAGGGAAAACTTCAGTTTTATTACACTTTTATCCAAGAGAGGTGGAAATTACATCCGTGATGGAAGAGGATAGATGCGCTATTGGAGTTTTAACGTTTAAAATTAACGGTATGATCTAATAATGCGTTCACACCAGAGTATAGACCAGTTTCAGACTTAGACGTCTATAACGTCAATCACGCAGGAGACAATTAATTTTGCGATAATGACGTTCCATGATAATTAATCATGTCATTGCGGTCAGTGGATAACAGTGTGTTTCCAAAGCTTCGGACAAGATACAAATTGCCGCCTGGTGAGAATTTCACTATGAGATTTCAAGTACGAGATTTAACAATATCTTCGCCTATGAAAATCAGAAACGTTACTTTACTATCATTTTGTATAAACATTTATATAAATTAAAAAAAAGAAATTTCATTTTCCTGTGAAAAATGCATCTTTTTAAATTATAATTCTTCATCAAATTTCATCCTCACCATCGAGTTGAAGAAAAATTTTCAAAATTTCTCACGAAACAAGACCACAATTCACAATTATACAATTACACTTCACAACGATAGAAAAAAATTCCATGGAGAGAAATCTAAATCTCTCCAAATCAAATTTAACACCTGCTTTAAAACTCCTTTCCAAATTCATTCACCAAAATTCCACAGATCTCGAAAATCGCTGATGTAACAGTGTCGATAGGATCGTAACGATAAGACTTCGCATCCACTCGAGTATCCTTCAAGAACGTGGAGAATTAATTAAAACGGAATCCCCCATCACGTACGTTCGAAGATGGAAAGAGATCTCGAAGAAAGCTCGTGGATCGAAGCGAGATGGCTCTGCCATCGTGTGTCGTCCAGGCTCTGCTATTACAATTCCAGAATGCCGAACGGGTCGTGTGACAGTCCGCGTGGGGGTCAACCAAGGCTAATTCCCCCGCCATCGAGTCGTCGCCCATCCTTTCTCCCCAATTGTTCGAGGATCGCGTCTCTCACGCTTTGGTCCATCGGTTTGGAATTCGAATCGTTATCTCCAAACCGTGCCATTTCCTATACCTATACCGAGCCATTGCTTTGCCCTGTTCCAAATTTGTAAACGAATTGCGGGATTCCCCGCGATCTTCGACGCACCAGCCGTGCCCTCTTGGGATAAGTATGCTCGATACGTGTCATAATGAAGCCTCGAGACGTCTCGATGAACGAATACTGAGCAAGAGGGTCTTGGGAATTCTCGAACGATGAATTGTCAGGATGTGGAAGCGAGTAATTTCGTTATTGGCTGTTGGCTGGATAAAATTTCCAAGTTTTAATGGTTCAAAACGCGCGTCGAATATCATTAACACGACATAATGTTGTTCTTTTTTCCTTGCCACAGGTATGAATACACAATTTGATGAAATATAAGAGCAATATTTTTCACAGAAACTTACATATACTCTGATATAGAGGGGATGATACGTTTTGGAATATTGTTGAAATTTTTCATGCGCAATGATATTTCATTATTTAA